AGCGAATTAATCTTTGAAACATCTTCTATCATTTCTCGCATCTGCTTGCATCGCGCATCATCTTTTGGCAGGAAATTTTTCAGAACAGTCATCAATCTTCTTTATATCTTCTCAGCGTGCCCGCAGCTAACCATAGCAAAACACAATTTTTCCTGTATCTTAGATAATGTCGCCTCCCTCGATATTACCTTATACATAGCCATACAGAGCTCATTTAGTAAGAAACGAACTTGGCACAAACCAATTCAAATTAATTTTGAAGTTACTATGGGAAAACAAAATTTTATAACAATTCACCATATCACTCTGCTTTTGAAAATAATAGCTGTACTTATAGAAAATTTTCTCAGCTACAACCTTGATGACTACTTCCTGATCAAATGAAAGGAACAAATGATATTAATGATTTAAGTCACTGATGTCTTATGATGATCTTTTTCCATATTCGAGAGCTCAATCATCTGTTCAGCAGACAAAATTGGTGTTTCTGACGCGTATAAGGACGCGTACAATAGAGCACGAACATCATGGCTACTATGTCACACTGCAGAATACAGTGTTGCCTATAAAATAGCTGCTAGATCATGCCAGAAGGTTATCAATCGCTTAAATAATTAATAGCTATTTAATGTGACGTTTGGCTGAAAACGATATTCTGTAAAAATGAAGACAAGGGGCAAGACAGCTCCTCATCATGAGCAATTTTTAAGTTGCTTTTGAGGCACATCGAGTACATAACTCACATTGCTCAGTAAGCAAGATCACTGTCATTTGCTTTCTCACTTTTCGGATCACAGCAACATATGGAAGTGCGAAACCGAAAAGCTACTGTCAAGCAAAACAACAACAAAAATCGGGGGCAACTGCAGGGGAGTATGATTGAGATTCTGAACTTTTGGTACCTAAATTTCCTTTGATCGTAATGACGGAAACGTGACTGAATAACCGATTTCATCGCATCTCTTCGGATCACTATATTCCGTCTTCAGCACTGACCGATCTCCCCTGAACAGTCAAAAATCGGGCGGGGGAGGCGTTCTGATTGCTGTCTCAACGAAACAAACCAGCTACCTAAGTATGTACCTCGACCATTTCTAGTCTACTGGAACAGCTTTGAATTCTTGAGGAAAATTCATAAAACATAAGCAGTATAGGCGCTGTCTACCCGCCCCAAACACGAAAAACGACTACACGATCATCCCTGAGCATGTGGAACCATTAGGTTCGATTTTGTCTCGATTGAGTCCCGCTTCACCGACAGCGGAACACCAGTCATTGACCCACTGCTATCGGATATGCCGGCGGCTTGCTGTGCTCTTTTAGACGGATTTCACTTACGCGGGTTCACTCAAGTAAACACTTATCAGAACCGAAACGGACGTTTGCTAGATCTTGTCCTGGCAAATGATTCCGCATTACCGGGCACTTCTACTTCTTTGCCGGTTGAGGCACTGATCGATCTAGATGGTGACCATTTCGCTCTTGTCTTATCATTCAGGCTACCTACGGCGATTAAATTTTCAAATAGACCAATCTACATTGAACAATTCTCTTCATCGACTCTCTCTTTCGTAAAAAGCTCGGCTACAACGACCTTTCCTGTCGTCTTTGTCGTAATAGATGCTAGATTGTTGCTTCTTCCGTCGCTCTGTGCTTCGAAAATATCCGGAAATATCTAAACATGGCCGAGCAAGAGAAAGTCGATGAAGAGAATCGATCAAAGTAGATAGGACCTATTGAAAAGTGACGGTAGAGCTCTACTTTGTTTAAAAACAAGACTGACGCCTTATATCTAGATAGAGGTGGAATTAGGGCGTAACAAATTTTGTAAACAATGACAACTCTCAATGATTTCTCGGAAATCATGTCTCTCCCTAGTAAATCGACATCACCATCGAGTAGAGGAAGACTTCTCCTACCCGATGGATATTGTATGTGTAGGCGTGCCTTGGATATGGTGGATATGGTTTGTGTAGGCGTGCCTTGAATTCCGAGAAATCAACATGAGAAGTCATTGTTTACAAAGGCTGTTACGCCCTAATTCCAGCTCTATCTTTATATGTGAATCAAGGGGTGGTCACTCTACACACTTGTTTTGCGCCAACTTTTTTCTCAGTGTACCTCAGTGTGAAGAAGTCATTGAACTGACTTTTGATTGCTTGTGAATAATGCCTTGTTTGGCAACGCGGAATTTTAACAGCTCTTGTTTTTGTTTTGTTTTTCAAGGTTTTCAAAAACGCCACGGACTCCAGTTGGGACTACACACTGGATGCATCCGTCTCCAAGGATGCCTGCAACGGACGAGCTCCATTGCTACACGATCCTTCCATATTCGGCGGAAGGCCGACCACGCACAACGAACGTCAATCATTAGTCAACCGGCCCTTCTGGGAGCCGGCGGAGGAAACGGATTTGCACCGAATTTTTCACCGCCAAGTATCATCCGTCGGAAAACTGGAAACCAACACCGTCCGGAACATATGTTGGACTGATGAAGGACGCACCGCTGACCCGAAACGGACCAGCCAATTTTCCAAGCAGAACTAGTTGTCAGAGTCAACCAACCCGTACACCCTGCCAGACAATTCGATCAGCTTCGAGGTCTACAGCGCCTCCAAGAACAATCGCTTCCCAGGCCAGCAAAAATCGCATTCTCCACTTCTTCAATACCCCACCCATATGCCGTCCGAGTATCTGCTGCTGACTGCATTCACCACCAAGGACTGCCACCCGTCGCAAGTGCGAATGTTCCCGCTGAAATCGGAAAGTTCCTCCTCCGGATTGGTTGAGTTTCCGAGCGTAGCCCTGGCAGTGAATGCCATCATGAAGTGCAACCACAGAGCGATCGATCACAAATGCACAAAACTCCCGTTCATTATGAAGCTGTGCTTCTCCTCCTCCAAGAAGATGAAAGGTGCGTGGAGCAACGAGAACACCGAAAACACGTTAGCTTTGAAAGAGTGGAAGCGTCTTTTTTCTGAGAAAAAAAAGGATTTTCCTTTTTCTGTGTAGTTAATGTTATGATTCGTAATTATAATTTCTTATTGTGTTAGTTGGAAGTGCAAAAAGGCAGGAGAGTAAAAATAATTTGTTGGACTATTTGAGATTTTGCCAAGACGGTTCTCCAACATTATATCAGTGCCAACATTTCAAAGGCCCACCCCTCCAAATTACCAATGCTAACTGGGACAGGAAACATTCCTCTACCTGCTGATGTCATTCATTTCTATGAGTGAGCTTTCATTCGCGAGAAATCGACGACGAAAGTCATTGTTTACAAATGCAATTACGCCCCTTCGAAATGTTGGCACTGATATGTTGGACGATGGAATGGTTGGTGTAGCAGCCACCGCCATGGATGTATTTGAGCAGTTTGAATGGTCGGATGATATAGTTTTTGTTTGGTTAATTAAAACTCACCGCTTGTCCGCTTGTCGTGACCGGCCCAAGATTTCCAGCGTCAGCCACGGCTGCACGAATTAGCGATGCAGCTCCCACGGCTGCGGCTGCTTCCAATGCTGCTGCTGCTTCCAATGCTGCTGCTTCCAATGCTGCTGCTGCTGCTGTTCCTTCTGCTGGTCCGTCGCCGTGGGAGCTGCTTCGCTAGTTCGTGTAACCATGGCCGGAAACCTCGGTCAGGTCAGGAGTTAGCTGTTCTTCGTCTGGGAGGAAATGTGGATGCAACTGCCGTCACGGGTGTAACGATTTTGAGAATCCATGGCGAGACTTGGTGGAGATTCACGGTAGTTTTGAAAATAATCTGACTAGAAGTTGCAACATCAATAACACATTTTGACACATGCACACTGCGCAGAATAAGTTCAGTGTTGCCAGTAGCTTTAAAGATCATAAAAATTGTAACCATGGGTGCCAAACAACGCCAATGACTGCACACGGTGTGCCCAAGTTTGATTTTGGCACACTGTGTAGAGTGACCAACCCCTTGATGTGAATGCGGTAAACGGAGTAGCCGATGAGTAAACAGACAGAAAAATCGATGAACGTCGATTAAATTTTGAGGTACATTGAGTTACTCGCTTTACCCCTTGAATGTAGCTGAGAAGATTTTCCATAATAATAGCTATAGAAATGTTTAACAGTGCTTTATGGAAAAGGCTAGAAGACAGAACAAAATGTATACCTAGTTTTCCATAGTAAAATAACATATAAACTTCAAATGGTTTGTGCCAAGTAAGTTTTTTACCAAATGAGTTCAAAATTTTGGGAGGCTAATCAGGACCCGATTTGGAATCGTTTGTGCACCGTTGAGCAACAATTTCAAACTATGGATCAGTCTAGTGTTCATAGATCAAAATTGTGTGTGGCTTCAGCCATTGTTGAATAAAATGAGATGAAAAGCAAGCAATAAAATAATTTTAAAACGTTTAACTTGGGCACAAACATCCAGTGCAATTAATTTTCATCATCTATTAAATTGTTCTTGATAAGCAGCAATGAAAAAAAAAGCATTTCTCGATTGTCCGGGTGTTCGATTATCCGGAGTGAAATTTTTGTCAAGCCTTCGCATAATCGAGTTCAACCTGTACTTGCAGGTCTCCGATTGCATCTTTTTGGAATGTTTTCTCGCACCGACAGACTCTGGCCAAACTTAATAATTAGGATAGTTCCTATTCCGAAAAGTAATCTTCAATGGTACAAGCAAACTACAAAGCTCACTAATTTGGTCCCATACATAAATTCAGCAATCGACTAAATTTTCAATAGCAACCAAAAATATCCATTAGTACCGTCCCCATGACGCCAACATTAGAGCATTTCCCTTAAGGCCCACGCACATTAGAACCGGATCGGACGCGTTGCGGCAAAGTGACAGCTAAATCTATTGTCTAACTGTCAAATTTACGTCAACGCAACGCAAACGGATCTAATGTGGGTGGCCCTTTATATAATTATTTGTAGAGAACAACTTGGTGCTCAAAACCAAGTAGGCATTGGTTAAGACAAATGGTCTACCCATGTTCAATCCGTCCATTTGAAAAATGAAGCTCGTCTTGCTCGCGTTAGTCCTGAGCATCAGTTCCCCATCGTGGGGCTATTTCCCGTCGGAAAATGGTGTCCTCCTGCTGGATCCATCGAACTTCAACGCAGCCGCACGACAGTTGCCATATTTGATGGTGGAATTCTACGCCCCTTGGTGCCATTACTGCAAAACATTCGCTTCCAAGTACGAAAACGTGGCCCAGCAACTCGCTACCGGAGGTTCCCCGGTGGCACTGGCCAAACTGGATGCCATACAGTATGCTGATTTTGCTGCCAAACACGATGTTGAAGAATATCCCACGTTGAAGTTCTATCGCTATGGAGTTCCAACCGTCTACGAAGAGGAGCTGGAGGTTGATCCGCTGATGCTATGGCTGATTAGAAATTCTCAACAGCAGAGAACTGAGTGGCAGGAACCCGTTTTGGAGTTGAGCTCGGAGAGTTTCCAATCCACAATTCAGATAAACCCTTTCGTTTTGGTCGAGTTTTACGCACCGGGGTGTTCCCACTGTCAAGCATTTGCACCAATCTATTTGAAGATTGCCAAAGAAATGGCCTGGAAAAATCCCAGCGTCAAACTGGCGAAGGTTGATGTCTCCAAGGAAAGGCAACTGGCTGCTGTACATGGTATTCGTAGGTTCCCGACAATCAAATTGTACCGCTACGGAGTGTCCCTGGCCTACAACGGACCTCGCGACGAGCATTCCGTCGTCAACTGGTTGCTGTCGAATGTTTAAATTATAGACTAGACCTTTTTGTGGTTCGCTTTCAAATAAATATCAACATAAATGCAAACTACCACATGTTTTGAAGCTTCCAATAAAATCCATCAGCAAACAACGATCCATTTGATATCATAGCACGAAACAACCGCGGCACCTGGATGCTATTCGTACATCCACAAATATTGATCACATTTCAAGGTTGCAACACTGTTTTGGATCCTAGCCGCAAACATTTGCTGGAACCAGTCGATACTTTTGCCATCCCCGTTCAAACATGTATACATATCCTAAATAAACACACACACACTCGGCACTCACAATGTAGTCGGAAACCCAAAATAAATGTGACGGTTTCGAATTGCGCACCATCTCTTGGGAAAATTCCCCTTAGCTACGTGTACGACCAAATGCCTTAGCTTCGAACGAATATTTTGCATTCACCCAGCCCAGCTCGCTCGTGCTAATCGACTTTGATGGGAACGATTTCGTGCCCCGAATCGTTCTTTATTTTTCCAGTCCTTATCACCCGCCATAGATCATGCATGGGAACTACAACCACGGTCAGCAGTCACGTTTGCATGGAATGCAATTTGTGGGGGGAGGGGGATTTGTGATGCACAATAACAGTCAGTGCTGGCTAATTGAAATTAGGTATCGCTGGGCGGTTATCGCCTAAATTATACAGGCCGGAGCTGATTGGTAGGCGATATAACCGTTTCCGAGTTATTAACGCGTTTTGCGTTTCAATTTGCATAACAACCCGGCCGGCTGATGATGGTTGTTATAATGATGCAATAATAATTTAATTACCTTCTACTACGTGTACATATACAAACACCAATCGGCACGTGGTGGGTGCAGAGTTTTGAGTGTTTCTAAATTAAATATCTGAAAATCACCAACCGCCAGCTACCGACCGCGGCACATTAGCCTAATTGGGCAACATTTAAATTGGGTGGAGAGTTTTATTTCCAGTGATGTAAAAAATCGTACATGGATCGCAATGTCAAACTGCTTGCGGCATCGAACTGCATGAAGGGGTCATTTTTCGTTGAATTTTTTTTTACATTGAATATTATCAAAGCAATACAGTGCTTTCTGATTTTGTTAGCCCCTTAGCGTAAACTCAAATATTATAAAAATTATAAATAATTTATAATATTTGGTAAACTGAAAAAATCGGGAAATTTTTTTCTACTATTTTATAGATCAAAATGGTTAAAGAAAAATGGAATTATCATAGGGTAAGTTGTGGTGATGCGCACCATGGGATAATATGGCCAACAGCGCTTATTAATGTGTTTTTCAAAACATATGTAGTGCGTTTTGACCAAGAATCACCAGGTGAGCTGCAGAACTATTATCTGCAAAACTGTTTATCTCAATTAGTCTTTGAATATTACGAGTAAAAATGAATTGAAAGGTGTTGTCGAGGCAGTGGTTTATTGGCACAAGAGAATGAGTATGTAGTAAAATTTACGTTTATTTTCTGGGTTTTAATGTTTCAACATTTGATTTAACATTTCAATTGGTTAGCCTTTGGCTTTTCATTTTTGTTCTAGTTAATTGGTTATTCTAATATGATGATTGCTTTTAGCGCTAATTTACAGGATACCCTTTGTGGGATTGTTTTGGTTTGAATTTAAAAATTTGATAACCTACCTAATTGAGCAACTAACTACTTAAACTAGGTTGCCAAATCACGAATGATCTGGTGGTTTGATCGCAGACAGGCGACTCTGAACCTTTCCAGCGTGGAAGTCTTTCGCTCCTCGAGTGTTTGAAGACCGGCCAGGTGGTGAATCTCATAATTACGAGTTCGCGGTGGACTGTTAAGGATCATTCTGAGGATCTTGTTTTGGATCCTCTGAAGCTTTAACTTTCCCAGATTGGCATACCATACTCAATAGCCGGCAGAATGATTTGCTTGTGGACAGCAAGCTTGTTTTTGAACGACAGGGTGGACTTCCTGTTTATCAGAGAGTAGAGCGACCTGATCAAGATGTTACACTTGGTGGATCTCTTGTCCACATGGGATCGGAATATCAATTTTCTATCGAGGGTGACACCAAGGTAGACTACTTCACTCGACCATTCAATGGGAGTGCTATCAAGATGGATCTTGACGTTAGCAGGCGGAACAAGCCGAGGTGAATACGAGTGTGGAGGACAAGAGGCTGATGGGGCGATAGCTTTTGGCACTGGTAGGATCTTTGCCAGGCTTGTGTATTGGAATCGCTTTGGCTAACTTCCAGCATGCAGGAAAGTAGCCAAGCTCCAAACATGTGTTGAAGATAACGGTAAGATGGTTGAAGAAGTCAATACTCAAGTTTTTCAACTCGAGGTTGACTACACCATCCATACCCGCAGCCTTCATGTTTTTAGTACTTCTAATAGCTGCTATCACCTCATCAGCCGATATTCTACTATCATCCTGCACTACTACAGGGGTGTCAGCGACTCTAGTCATTGCCTCCAGTACGGCATGGGGGGCTCACCATGGTTTGACCAAGATTATGTGAAATCACAAAATGTTGGCCAAGAGCATTGGCCTTTTCAACTGGGGTTATCAGTAGGGATGGGTCTAAGTTCTGGTCAACAAAGGAAAGCGGAGGGATCGGCCTTGACTTATTTTTTAAAATTTAAGTCATCTTCCAAAATGGTTTTGCACAATCTGGGAGAGAGCTAATCTTTTTGGTAAAGTCGTTATTTCTGAGTTCCACCATCCTGGCCTGGATAAGAGTATGACTCACCTGTCTGGATGCTGGTACGTGTTGCTCCCTGGCACGGGATATCACCTCTTCGATGGCTTGCAGACACTGATCGACTTCTTCGTACGACTCCGGTAGGACGTCGTAATCGATTGCTGTGTCCACACAACGCTGATACTGCTGCCAGTTGACACGATGGTTATTTCGCCGGGAAACTTAAAATCTATTGGCCGAGGAACCTACTTCGGTCACCACCGGATAGTGGTCCGAGCTCAGTTCCTGATAGGCGATAGGTTGGGAGATGTTATCGCCACTGTTGCTGATGAAGATGTCGATGGTGGCATGAGCTCCGGATTGACTCAACAGGGTGGGAGTGTCCGGACACAGAATGTTGTAGTGGGCTTGCTGCAGATCGTTGTATAATATTGTGCCGTTCTGATTTCGCCGACTATTTCCCCAGGCTTGATGCTTGGCGTTCAGGTCGACAGCGATGACGAAATTTTGCCGCCGTCGTGTTAGCTTGATGATGTCTCTTCGGAGGTCTGCGGCCGAGCCGTCCCTAATGTTGGTTTGCTTGGGGCAGTAGACCACGATGATGGTGATTGGACCAAGCGATGTGCTCACCTCAACTCCGATGGCTTCGATAATTTTCAGCTGGAAGCTTGGTAGTAGCCGGCAGTTGATGTTCCGTCTCGCAGCGATGGCCACTCCCCTTCCCCCGGAGCTGGTGTGGTCAAGCCTTACGAGCCGAAAGTCAGGAAGGAAGACGTTCAGCTCGGGCTTCAAGTGAGTTTCGGTGATGACGGCTATGTCGATGTGCCGTTCGTTGAGAAAAGTCAACAAACTCAATGTTTTTGCTCTTCAAGGAGCAAGCATTCCAATTTACGATCTTGATGGCTTCACGGTCCATACTTAGTGACAAGGGACAGGGCAGCATGTAGCTGTTCAGATCGAGTCTTGCAGGTGCGCATGATGATGATGACCTCGGCCACGAGCGTCACAAGTTCCTCCGAGGTGAACGGAGAATCGTCGACAGGTTCACCTGAGACAGCACCAGCGTACGACAAACCAGGGGCGGTGGATGAACCTGGAATTGGCTGGGCCACAGCAGCAGCGAGACGATGCTGAACTGTCCGACTTTTGGGAACCATTTGGATACTCGCAAGATTGGCTTGTTGGTTGTTGAGCGGAAGCGGGGCTAGGTTCGGAACATGTCGACGGGGCTGGAGAGCTGGGTACTGGACTTCCGTTAGTACAGGAGGCGAACGATGATTACGGAAGCGATCAACCTGATTGTTCATTGTAGCCTTCCGACGGATATTAATGAACTCCACTCGCTTGGGACATCCGCGATTGGAGGCTTGGTGGTTTCCACCGCAGTTGACACACGTTGGCTCTATGTCATCAACTTGCTCACAGGACGCAGTTGAGTGAGTTCCAGCACACTTGCCGCAGTTTGTCTTCATATGGCAGTTTTTGGTGCCATGGCCATAAGAGAGGCAGTTCATACACTGCGTAACATCACGATGTTGGGGTTTGTAATGCTCCCAACTGATGATGACCTGAAACAGGTCCCGGATTTTGGATCTCAGAGCCGCAAGACTGGTGGATCCCTTCGTGAAGTGCACCAGGAACAACTGGTCACGGAAGCTGGTATTGTTGATGGAACGCCGGTTCATCTGGAACCCGGCCTCAGGTTGGAGCCCAAGCCGCTCCAGCTCGGACTTCACCGCAGCCGCCTCGAACGACGGTAATCCACGCGAAACTGCCTTCAGTGGCTTGCTCGATGGCAGATCATGCGTGAAGAAGTCCATGTTGTTTTCCTTCAGGAAACATCCTATTGGTTTGTACTCCTCCAGGCTGGAGCACATGATTTTGGTACCGATGCTGCAAAGTTTGAAGCGAGGCAGCAGCTTGTGTTTTACCAGTTCGGCACCTAGCTTGACAACATCCTTCACCGGCGTGAAAAGCGGGGGAATTCGCTCGTTTCTTGCAATGGGAGCGGCGTCACCATCTTCCGGGAGTACTGCATACTGGTTGGCTTGCAGTACTCGTTTTCCGGCGTCATCCAGCGACGCGCTGGGCTTGATTAGCACCTTTTTTGAAGGCCCGGCTGCTGACTCATTGGCACGTTTACGCACCATTTGTTTCGTGTTTGCAAGTTCAAGTAAACTTGCCAGAACGCGAGAAGGTGGCGACACTTCCACGGCGCAACGCGACAGCACAAAACGAAACAAAATCGAAACGAGATCTCGAGCGAAAAAAACGGACTGAACAGCTCAACAGTCGAGCAAAGAATGTCAAGAGAATGAGTATAATCTCACAGGAACTTATGGGTCGTCCATTAATTATGTCACACATTTAGGGGGAGGGGGGGTTTTGAAAACTGTGACGAGCCATACAAAAAAAAATTAAGGTCCATACAAAAAATGTGACAAAGGGGGGAGGGGGGGTTGAAAATGGGCCAAATTTGCGTGACATAATTAATGGACCATCCCTTATATAGCTTATTGATTAATTACAAAGCCTACTACTTTTTATTTCAGCTTCATGTTTCGGTTTGCTTCACATCAGGTCGCAATTGAAAATTTAGTCGATTGCTGAATTTATTTTCTTTTTTTTTTCCTTTGGTTTGTTTTTTCCGTCGATCTTGTTTTCCGTGCTGAGCACCAATGCTACCGACG